TTTTAAGTGTAGAAGTTTTTTCTTCTCTTTGGTTAAGTTTATTCTTAAATATTTCATTATTTTTGATGCTCTTTTAAATGGAATTTTTCCTTAATTTCCTTTTAGAATTGCTTATTCTTAGGGTATAGAAATGCAACTATTTTTGTATGTTGGTTTTGTATCCTGCAACATTGCTGGTTTGTTTATTAGCTCTAACAATTATTTCATGGAATCTTTAGATATTCCTACATATATGATCATGTTGTCTGCAAACATAGATAATTTTACTTCTTCCTTTGTGATTTAGATGTGTTTTACGTATTTTTCTTGTCTAATTGTTCTGTCTACAACTTTCAGTACTATGTTGAATAGAAGTGGCAAAAGAGGGCAAGCTTTTCTTCTTCCTGATCTTAGTGAAAAGCTTTCAAGTTTTCACCTTTGAATATCTTGTTAGCTGTGAACTTTTCTTATATGACGTTTATTATGTTGAGGTGATCTCCCTTTATTCCTAGTGTGTTGTGTGTTTTTATCATGAAAGGATATTGGATTGTGTGAAATGCTTTTTCTACATCTATTATGATGATTGTGCAACTGTTATTCTTTGTTGTGTTAATGTGTATCACATTGATTGCTTTTTGTATTTTGAATCATCCTTGCATCCAAAGATAAATCCTACTTGGTCATGGTGTCTTATCCTTTTACTATGCTGTTAAATTTGGCTTGCTAGTATTTTGTTAAGGATTTTTGCATGTTTTGCCACCAGGGATATTGGTCTCTAGCTCTCTTTTCTCGTAATATTTTTGGGGGGGTGGGGATTTGGTATGAGAGTAATGTCCTCATAAAATGAGTTTGGAAGTGTTCCTTTCTTTTCAATTACTTGGAAGAATCTGAGAAGATTTAGTGATAATTCTTTAAATGTTTGACAGAATTATCTGGGAAGAATCTGAGAAGATTTAGTGATAATTCTTTAAATGATTGACAGAATTATCTAGTGAAGGTATCTGGTACTAGGCTTTTCTTTGTTACAAGGTTTTTGATTACCAATTCAATTTCAGATTTTCTATTTCTTTATGATTAAGTCTTGAAAGGGTGTATGTTTCTAGGGATTTATCCATTTCTTCTAGGTTCAATTCATTGGTGTATGATTATTCATAGTAATCTATTATAATACTTTTTATTTCTGTGACATCAATTATAATGTCTCCTCTTTCATTTTTGATTTTATGTCTTTTCTCTTTTTTTCTTAGTGTAGCTAAGATTTTGCTACTTTGTTACTCTTTTCAATAAACCAACTGAGTTTCATTGATTTTTCTATAGTTTTTCTATTCACTATTTATTTCTGCTTATTCTTTATTATTCTCTTCCTTCTGCTAACTTTGGACTTAGTTTGTTTGCCAAACTAACATTTGCCAGTTCTGTTTATCAAAAGTGGCCCACTAGGCACTTCCATCCTGTACTTGGCTGCATTTAAAATTTGAGAATAGTTTAAGATCATTTCAGCCCCAAGACCTCAAATAATTCATGAGTGTTGTCATAGACCCCCAACACAGCATTCAGTTCATCCTGCTACACCAGTACTGACCAGCAAAGTATCCAGGGAAATAGGTGGGAAACCTGACAGTTGGAATCCATTTAATTATAGAGAGATCAACAGGCAAAATGACAAGAAAAAACCAATCCAGTTAAGAAGAATTCCATGAAAAAAGTTAACATGAAAATCTCATCATTCCCTATCCTCAGCTAGTTGGGATCATCAAAATCATCCTGACCCAAAAAATCCTCATCTCTTCTAGGAACAAAAGGGATAATAGCTTCAGCCTTGGTTTTCTCAGTTTCATCATAACTGGGCAGTGCTGTAGCCACATTGTAAGATGGGGACTTTGGAAACCCATACTCATCTTTGTAGTCAAATACCTTGTACCCTCTGTAAACATGCTGCTGTACAGTGAAGGAGCATCACCTGAAGTTAAAAGTGTTCAGGTCCTCCAGGCTCTTCATTATTCTGTAAATCTTGGTACCAGCTGCTATAGGTTTGCTCAATTGCTGCCAGTGCCACTAGTGTCAGTGCCATGGTGCAGTCAGTTGCAGGGAAGGAGGGCAAGTAAGCAAGCTGACCAGGCACAGGCATGGTAGCCTGGGAGTGCTGGGAGACCAAAGGGGACACCCACTTCAGGTGAGTCTCAATGGCAGCCACTGCTCCTGGGCAAGATGCTCTTCTTGAGCTGTGAGCACTGGCACATCTGAGGTATTTTGTAATTTCCCTTTTGGTTTCTTCTTTTCCCTTTTGTTGTTCAGGAGCATGTTGTTTGATTTCCACCTAATGGTGAATTTTCCAGTTTTCCTTCTACTACTGATTTCAAATTTCATTCCATTGTCATCATTAAAGCAACTTGGTATGATTCAATCTTCTTAGATTTGTTAAGACTTGTTTTGTGACTTAACATTCATTTATCCTGGAGGATGTTCCATGTGTGTTTGAGAAGACTATGTATTCTGCTTCTCTGGGTGAAATAGTCTGTATGTGTCTGTTAGGTCCATTTGGTCTATAGTGTTGTTCAAGTTCTCTGTTTTCTTATCTTCTGTCTGGTTGTTTTATTAACTATTGAAAGTGGATTATTGAAATCTACCATTTTTGTGTTGCTCTCTATTTCTTCCTTCAATTCTGTTGATGTTTGTTTTGTATATTTGGGTGTTCTGATGTTGGGTGCATATATATTTATAATTGTTATATCCTTCTGGTCAATTGCCCTTCTTTCTTATTTTCTTTTGTGTATCTTCTATATGTATTTTCATGGAGCTTACATGAAACATTGTAACAATCAGTTTTAAGCTGATAATTTAACTTCAATCACATACAAAAACTCTGCACTTTTACTTGTCCCTACACACACTTTATGTTAATGATGTCACAGATTACATCTTTATATGTTATACACCCATTAATATATTGTTATAGTTTTTTTATACTTTCATCTTCTAAATTCTGTACCAGAGTTAAAAGTGTTTTATGTACCACCATTACAGTATTCTGCATTTTTCTATATATTTACCTTTAACAGTGAACTTTGTGTGTAGTGTCCTTATATCTCAACTTGAAGGACTCTCTTTAGCATTTCTTGTAAGGTATGTCTAGTGGTGATGAACTTCCTCAACTTTTGTTTATCTTGGAAAGTATTTGTCTTTCATTTTTTAAAGGCAGTTTTGCACAATATAATATTCTTGATTGGCATGTTTTGTTTTGTTTTGTATTTTTCTTTAAGCATTTTGAATATATCATCCCATTCATTTCTGGATTACATGGTTTCTGCTGAAAAAAATTATCTGATAATTTTATGGAAGTTCCCTATATGTGATAAGTCACTTTCTCTAGCTCCATTTGAAACTCTATCTTTGTTTTTGACTTATGATAATTTAATTATAATGTTTCTCTCTTTTGTATTCTTTGGGGTCATCATAGTTGGAATCCACTGTGATTCCTAAATCTAGATGTCCATTTTCTTCCAAAGATTTGGGAAGTTCTTGGTCATTATTTCTTCAAATACCAAATATACTTTCTGTCCTTTTTATTTTTTTTTCTTTCTTTTATCTTTCTGAAAATCCCATATTGGCCTGGCCTGCTTGATGGTGTCCCATATGTCCTTAGCCTTTTTTTTTATTTGGGAAGTTCTTGGTCATTATTTCTTCAAATACCAAATATACTTTCTGTCCTTTTTATTATTTTTTTTTCTTTCTTTTATCTTTCTGAAAATCCCATATTGGCCTGGCCTGCTTGATGGTGTCCCATATGTCCTTAGCCTTTTTTTTAAAATTCCTTTGACTGGATAATTTTGAATGACCTATCTACTTATATTCAAGTTCACTGATTATTTCTTCTGCTGGATTATCTACCTTGGAATCCCCCTAGTGAATTTATCAATTCAATTATTATATTCTTTAGCTCCAAAATTTCTGTTTTTTTAAATATAATATGTTTATACCTTTGCTGATATTCTCATATTGTTTGGGCATCATTTTTCTGAGCTCATTGAGCATATTTATAATGGTTATTTGGGATTCTTTGTCACATAATTTACACATCTCCATTTCTTTAGGGTTGGTTTGTTTTGTTCTTTTATTTTGTTCCTTTGATTGAGCCATGATTTCCTTTTTCTACATGTGCCTTCTTACTTTGTGTTGGAATCTGTGCATGTGGGTGAAAAAAACCAAAACAAACAAACAAACAAAAAAACTGTCCCAGTCCTTAAAGACTAGCTCTCTATACAGGAAAGAATTTTGACATCAGCCTGACTAGAGATCCTGGGAGCCTCTCAAACTTTTTACATGGGTGCATCTTCTATGTACTTGTATTTGCAAATTCCTTATTAGAGAGGTTTGGTTGGTTTCTTTTCTCAAGAAGCTGGGAGTTGGGAATTTTTCCTGCTTCTTCTACACTGAGTCAGAGGGAGAGGCAATAACAAGTGAGTGCAGACTAGTTTAAACCATTGTCTTCACTCTCAGCAGTCCCAACCTGGGTCCTTTTCTGTCAGCATTTAGATAAAGGCAAGACAGAAACCTGTCCCTTGGGATGTCCCCCCAAAAGTCTGAATGTTAGATGTTTGTTCCAGTCTTCTCTTTCCCTCACCAGGGGAAAACCAGGAGTTGAGAGTTTCCTCCCAATCATGCCATGCTGTGCAAGGGAGGGCCTATAGCAAGTGAGTGCCAAAAATTTTTCTACCAGCTTTCATGTGGCTGGCTTTGCATTTACCTGGGGCACAGGAGCCTCTTAACTGGTTTTTGGATTTCTCACAAAAGGACTGGTAAGTGTTTTGTTGAACTGGTGTCTCCATGAGGAAAGGCGAATCTTGAGGATCTCTGTTCTGCAGTCTTACTGACATACCCAACATAAAGTCTTAAAGTAATTTTTAAGCATACTTTATACAAGTAAACATCACTTTAACATTTGAATTTTGGTTACAAAAATAATAGAAAGCTAGTTCCTTCAAAGTGTGAAGCTTATTGAATCAATGTTGTTTTTCTTTTTCTTTTTAGCTATAAAGCATTTTCTTTTTCCTGTTGGCTTACTTATGCTGGAAAGAAGCTGTGCCAAGTAAGAAACTACAGAAATATTCCGGTCAAAAAATTATTTTTTTTCTTGGTCAACTGGAATGAAATGTAAGTTTAATCTTTATTCTGGCTGGATCATTTATCTAATAAGAGTCAGCTTTTTTAAAACTTTTTTTTTAAGCCAAGGGTGTGGTTTTTCAAAAATGCTGCCAATTAATTTGATTCAGTGGCTTGATAAATATGTTACTTCTAATAGATAATTGACTATTCAATTCAGCAGATTAAAAGTCCATTTAAAAACTAGACAAGTGTCTAGTCCACATTACTGAACTGAGAAGAAATGGAAATTGGTAAAAGGAGAGGTGTTGTTAATCATTCACACACCATGGCTACTCTCTATTTAAGGCAGGGGTGGGGGAAGTCCAGATATAGCAAAGAAGAGAGAAATCAATGGTATATGTGATCTCCATTTTCTCAAGTTTTTCACACAAGCCAATTACAAATTTGTTTAAACAAGTTTTTCGACAATAAACATCCATTGTATTGTGTAAACTTATACCTAATTTGGTATGACTGGCTCCTACTTTCTCCTTTTGTAGAGATATATTAAATCGTGTAGGTAGAAGTTCTTTCTTGACACTATTCCTGCTCTCCTCTATTGTGTAAACTTATACCTAATTTGGTATGACTGGCTCCTACTTTCTCCTTTTGTAGAGATTTATTAAATCGTGTAGGTAGAAGTTCTTTCTTGACACTATTCCTGCTCTCCTTTCCTCCTTTGCTCCCCTCCCCAACACCAGCCCTGTCATTACTGAGAATCTCAGAAGGCTCATAGACCCCATTCATGGCTTTCACAGTTACTGCTGCTTTTCTTGCCCCTGTTATGACACTACTCCACGGGCTGGTTCTCAGTCCTTTCTATGAGGTCTCTACTGCTTCACTGATAACAATTTTCTTCTCACCTCAAGTAGAAGAAAATTCCCCAGCTCACTCTCTCTCAACTCTTTCATAAGGTCTGGTTTTGGGGGAAGATAATTTGACTCCCAATATAATGCTTTCCCATTATAAATATGTGTCAATTCCTAGGAGTCAGAGGATGATGTTAGGTGGCACCATCTGTACTACTGTTAGTGTTACCAATCAGTGGAGACCGTGTCCTGAAACATGGCTTGTGACCTTTAATTCTCACATACGTCATGGTCCCTTCCATCCCAAACCAAATCCTTTTTCTTCTAGGACTATAACCATCATTATCTCCCCTTCCTTGGTTAAAGTTCTTAATTCCTTTGACCAAAGACCTGACATTTGATTGCAATATCCCCTGCCCTTGCACAGAATCAGTTCTGCTTATAAAATTCTTCAGTAGCTCTCCAATTCTTTTAAGGTAAAGTACAAATCATTTAGCATAGCACACAAGGCCCTCTGTTGTTTGGCCTCTGCCTATCTCTATAATTGCATCTCTAGAATTAGCCTCACTCTCTGCCTCTGCACCTAGCCACTCTCTGCATTTGGTCTACTTACCCCAACTCTGAACTGAGAAATCATGCCTCAGCTAGGGGTCCTCCACATGTCAGGAACACAGTGCTTTCACTTGCCCACCTTGAGAACATCTAGTTATCTTTCAAGACAAGTTTTCCACCACCTTTTTAATTTGTTCCTATCTCATCAGATAAAATTGAACATCTTTTCTTTTGTTACTTGGTCTGAACTCTGAATTTCTCTCTTATGGTACCTTACTGATTGTGTTTGCTTATATTTCTTTCGGCTCCTACCAAGTGACACAAATTGTTTTTACTGTTTTATTTTTTATTTAATCCTCAGAAGCTAAAACAGCACCAGACAGAGCAAGAGTGCAGTAAGTGTTGTAGGGCAAAATAACAAATTTTGTGCAGCAAGTGACTCCTTAAAATTGTTATTAACCAGCTCAATTACTACAATTATTCTTCTGACAATTAAAAATATTCCCCGGTTTTTTCAATTTATTTTTAACTCACAGATTCTTGCC